CCCCAAAACCCCAAAACCCCAAAACCCCAAAACCCCAAAACCCCATTCCCAAGTCAATTTATTGAATACTTATTTGGCTTAAATGAAATGCTGAGTTTAGAAAATTATATCTTCCTCTTGCTGTTGTAACTCGATACTGCTGAGATAATGGACTTTTTGCCACTGCTGTTGACCCCAATGCTAGACTCTCCATCATCATAAGAAGGAGCACTACTTTCTGTATACTGTGAAGAGTTCTTGAAACTAGCTCTAGAAGACCCAGAGGCTGAGTCAGACTCAGGGTCTATTTCATTAAGACTAAAGTCTCCATCTGAGTCGTCTTCAGAGCTTGAAGAGGAGGAGATCAAGTCAGCAATATTATGCAATCTAGAGAGATACCTCTCCTTCTCTGAGTTCATATACTCAGGTTGCAATTTCTTAGCATTGCCTCTCTTCTTGTTCCTGTTATTTCTCTTAGGTGTTGAGCCTGTATCTATGACCTCTTCACTGTCATCCCCATCTTCATCTTTGTTCTGATTCTTCTTGGGTTGATGACCAGTAGACTTCTCTTCTTCGTTCTTCTTCTCACTGATGGAGAGTTTACTCAGCTTGGAGTTCACGCTAGAAATTTGGGTCAGAGTTTATCCGAAGAAGTATTATCCAAGAAATCAGAAGTCAGAGAGGATTTAATGTAGCTTGATGGTAATTTATTGAGCTCCAGGTTTCTGTCAAAGAAAGCACTTGCTTTTAAGAGATAATAAATCTTATACAGTTATATATAAGCTCTAAATACTCTACATCGCTTGTTTAGGTATAGCTGTAAATTTTCTTACTCTCCTTCTTGGCTTGACTCAACTTCCCTTCTACTTTCTTCTAGAAGTATTAAACTTGATTGCTTTCTCTGAAGGCTTACCATCATTAGGTGATTCATTTGGGGCCTGATTCTCTTGATCACTGACACCATCATCACTTGAGCTACTGATCTGTTCTTGATTGCGCTCTTTAGTAAAGTAAGATGTTTTCAAATTCATAGTAGAATTTTCAGAATCCTTAAAAGAAGTTGTCAACCAAAGAAGGCTATCAGATGCAGTAAACTTGTATCAATTACTAACCAGTTCACTACTCAAGTCTCTCATAGACGATTAAGGTTAAACCCAATTCTTACTTGAAGTGGAAGGCATTTTAATTTGCGGATTTAAGTTAATTAATTCAAAATTTATGAATAAAAACGGGGTTTTGGGGTTTTGGGGTTTTGGGGTTTTGGGG